GCGCTACCGCTTGAGCCACATCCCCAGCCCCGAGTCATGGTAATATTCTGAGTCCAGGTTTGGATAGAAGTGCAAGATGGAGTAGCAGATCAAACACAGATATTAATTTGACATATTCTCCTCCTCCTTTATCTGTTGAGTGATCTGAAGTCACTAATAATGTTTCCTAAAAAGCCATTGATTCTGGGTACATCCTGCACAGTCAGAGAAGGGAATAATCTTGAGTTCTAAGCCCAAACATAGGCAGACAATGTGTGCCATTTTGTTCATCAGGAAGGCTAGAAAATTTGCCAACAAATAAAGACCAACTCTTCTCCCCCTCTACTTGAAACCTATAACAGAGATAGGCTTCACCAAAGAAAGATCTAGGTTTGCTATGAGGAAGGACTTCCAGGCAATGAAATTTATTAAACCCTGCAACAACTACCAAGGGAGGAAAACTGTAGAATCAGCTTCTCACTTAAGGTCTTTAAATGGGAGACAGATTCTTATCTAAGAGATGTTTTGGCCAGGTTTGCCTCGGGGGTGGAAGGATGCTGGAGATTTCCAGGTAATCTGTGATCCTGAAGGAGAGTGCCAAGTGGGTTGGGACCTGGGCTACGCCCTACGTACCGTGTCCTGAGGACTCAGGACCCCCAGCCCAGGGCCCACCTCTCATTCCCCTAGGCCTTGGCGGGAAGCATAAGGAGGAGACTCTCTATCCCACACCAACATGTAGCCACACCTGCCCTCCCAGAGGTGACCAGCTGCACAGGTCCAGTGGCTTTGGCAGCTTGTGTGATCCTTCTGAAGCTGTAGAAACCCTGGGGCTGAGGACCAGGCTAGGAGCAGCCCTTCTGGCCCTAGACTGACTCTGGAGCAGACTCACCTTTGTTCATTTCCCTTGGATGAGCCTTGGGGGTTGTACCCCTACCTGAGAGGGAGATGGAGTCCTTATAGCTCACAAGAACAGACCCAGCAGATCTGTCCTATGGAAGGAGTTTGGGGGAGAGACTAGTGATGCTCTTCTCTGCACCCAATCACATCTGCAGCCTCTCTCAGGCTCCGCCTCCTCCCTCTGTCTGTCCCTGGAGGTCATCAGATCCAACACCCACAAGCTCACCTTCAGACCAGCTCACCTACAGGCTTACAGGTGTGCACTGGGCCTCTCCTTGGGAGTCTTGCCCTCATGTTTCACAGCAAAGGAAGTCTGCCTACGTTTGCTGAGCACCGGGCTCTGGGCAAGGTGCTTTGAGCACTGTAATCTCATTTCTCTTTTACTGTAAACCAGTGAGGTAACTATATGTTACTATCCCTGTTTTACAGGTGAGGAAACTGCCTCCCAGGCAGCCTCTCAGCAAGTTTTAAAGATGAAATGACTTGATGAAGGTCACACAGTTGTCAACTGGCTGGGTCAGGATTTGAACCCACATCTCTGAACGGTGGAGCCCATTTTTTCCATGATGCCTTGCTGCATCCTCCTCTGCAGTCTCCCAGCCTCCCTCTCCCTTTACACACACACACAGCTCCTGGGGAGAGGCCTGGGAGTCAGACACTGAGTGTGACTTCACTGTGACTAAGTAGGAAGAAACGAGGAGAGGGAGTAGGGAGGGGAAGAAAGCACCATTGTGGAGAAACAGCCTCTGTGTCAGACACAGACGAGGGGTTGGCAAACGCGGGGAGCCAAAGAAGAGCCACTGCCCTTGGTGAGGCTCCCATGGAGAGCTGCAGCCGGGGCGGGGTCAACTACAGTCCCCAGGTTGTGCGGCTGTGGCTCATCCAACCTTCATGGCCCTTCTAAGCTGAGCCTTTAGCTTCTTTCTGGTTCCAGGAAGAGCCTGAGCTTGTTCTGGGGACAATTGTGGTGAGGCAGAAGGATCCAGAAGCAGGGCTACCCCTTAGCCTCCAGGGTGGGTAAGGCAGAGTGGAGCGGCAACAGTCTCCTGGATGGAGACTCAGAACTCGTGGCTTCCAGGGCTGTCTGCCCCTCACAGTCGCTGTACTTATGTAGACCTCTTCTTTCTGGGTCTCAATTTCCTCATGAATAAAAGGAGGATGTTTGGATGAGATGACCCCTAAGACCCTTACAGTCTGTGTGCCATGGTGCCATCTTATCCCTCCTGCCACGTTCTAACTGATGAGTTGGTCTCTGACTTCCACTCACCTTTTATTTATTTTTTTCTTGAAAGAGAAATGTGGAAGAGGATCACTCTGATCTGTAGAAAGGGAGGGGAGAAATCTGGGTGCTGTGGTGCACACTTGTAATCTCAGGGACTCAGGAGGCTGAGGCTGAAGGATCACAAGGTTGAGGCCAGCCAAATTAAAAAATAAAAAGGGCTGGGAACGTAGCTCAGTAGTAGAGTATTTCTGGTTCAGTCTCCACTACTTCAAAGAAAAGAGAGAGAGAGAGAGAGAGAGAGAGAGAGAGAGAGAGAGAGAGAGAGAGAGAGAGAGAGAGAGAGAGAGAGAGAGAGAGAGAGAGAAATGAGGGGAAATAGTTTCAAGGCCACATTTCCAGCATTTAGGATCACGTGTGATCCAGTGAAAAGCACCATTTGAAATGTTGGAGTAAAGACACAGCAGGCCACATCTGGGGCCATCCACTTATTCCTTGAATATTTATCCATTCTTTATTGCTAAATGGACAGTGTTATTTGTAAGATAAACTGCAATATATACACAATGAATTCTATAAGAGACCTAAGAATACAGAGCTCTAGGGTGCTGCCTAAGGACATCATAAAATTAGTGGTGTTGCCAAAAGCTTGATCCTTGTCCTGGATGCCAATCTAGTAACGAGGACATGGTTTTGAGAAAAAGGAAGAAGAATATTTATTACTTTGCTAGCAAAGGAGAAGCACAGGGGTCTCCTGTCCCAGAGACTGTGATTCTGCCCATTAACAGGAACAGGAGCTTTTATAGAGGTGATTCAAAGGCTGCTTTCCG